TGTGAGTATGTGGCAGCACTGTGTGCATCTTGTACAGTAATAATGTTGCTTACACTGAAGTAGCATAATAAGCTGTTACCAAAAGTGCCGTGTGTTCTGGTACAGTATACTGTCCCCATAGGAAATCGCGATCTCTCGGCCGCGACAAAGTCAGCGAATTTTGGTGTGTCCCGCAAAATGTGATGATTTTGCAGAATCGCCGCGAATTGTGAGGAAAAAATATCAGATTTCGAGAATTCATGGTGTTTTTCAGTGTTCGTGAAAGCGTTGCCCGTACCGTCGACTGGCTCTGGCGCGTGCGGCATGCATGCACTAGTGTGAGTACTCTGCATGTCATGCTTGTACTTCGAAGTACCATTCCGGTACGGTGCATGTGATGGAAATTGGGTACAAGAGCACTGCATCAGACACATGACTGAAGATCTATGAAGTATGAACCCACACATTTTACCACAAGTTCTGTCATATTTTACCGGAAGTTCAGCTCCTAATAGGCTATTCATACTACGTTACAATACGCGTCACGTTTTGGAATACGACGTACTGGCAGACGTCGTTTTCATGCAGGTGCATTCACACAGGCACGTACACGCTTTTCGTACAGCTGTGCGCACAGCTTCCTTTGGACTCAAACTGCCAGGAACGACAGAACGAACCTCGGTACAGGGTCTGGATACGTCGTCTACGTTTTCGTATCAGGGGTACGATTTCCCCACCACGTTCCACGTTGTCATGGCTATCCGGACGAAAGCGTCACGCACGCCATGTTTTGGGTGTAGTGTGAATGGCCCATTACCGCATATTTGGCCGCAACTTCAGCCCAATATGCACCGCAAGATTTGCGCAACTTTCGAAGAATTTTCCCGAAATTTCCGTGGGGGCAGAGTATAATATCGTGTACTTTAATCTGGAGTTTGCACTCTCCAATTAGAAGGCAGAATTGCCTGTGTCGATAACTATGTAACAGTTTGACTTTAAAGAAAACAACCAATAACAACAGCAACAATACTGGCACTACCATACAGCTTTCGCTGTTGTACTTCAAAGTCCTATTGCGACCAACATAATTTTGTCAATCCCCACTTCTCCGAGTGAGGGTAACATGGCTGCAGCTAACAAGGTTTCACCCCCTGCAGCACTGGTTGTTAGCTTACCATTTCACCCTCGCCGTTGTGTACTGCATCTGCCACCTTGGTATAACCAGCAATGGTGGAGGCCTGGCATGAGCGAAACCACTCTCTAAGCTGGCTGTGTTTCTAAACACAATTGAGGTTGTGCAAATGATTTCATAGTGGTAACTAATGTTACTTGCAGAATCCCTTGTGGGCGTTACATATACAGGGTGAGTCGGCGGATTCACTTATGGGAGCTATGCAGCGCGAGTCCGTGGTTTCGCTTTACCTCCACGCTGTAGTGCATCGCTCTGCTGCTGCTTTGCCAAATTGCAAAGCTGTCAACTGATGATGATGCAGTAATTGCATAGCCGCCAGTGGCAATGTGGATGTGCCACAACTTCACATTTCTTTTTTGAACACATTTGTGACTTGAAAATACCGCAAACTGTCCTGTCACAGGCCGTGCATGGATTGCGGACACTACACAATGAATTAAGGAGATGAATCTCGAAAGTTTCTTGTCCCAAACCAGTCCAATTCTTGAAAACTCCAAATGTTGCACACCGAGAAAGTACATGTAACCCAAGAGTACATAAACCTCTTTCTAACTACTTGACAACTACTTCTACATAGTACAGTACTGTAAGAGCACATATTTTACATACTAGTAGGCAACGTGAAGTAATTGCGAATTCTGGCTGTCAAACTACTGCACGTACGGAAAATACCCACACGTACATCGTTTTTCACAGATTCCGGGGCTCCATGACCAGCCGGCTATGCCAACACGCTAATTCTCGCTGTCGAGCTCTTTTCCGTCGAAAGTTGACGAAAGATAATAGGGAGGTTCCGGAGTACGATTTTTCGTGCCAAAAATCCGTAGAGGCTCTACGGATTTTTATACGTCGTTTTTGAGCAGTGAAATGTTCCGGAGTACGGAACTTATGTGTTTGCCGTCATTGCCTAGGTTACGATCGCAAACACGTCACATTCCCGCGCTATGCCTTTATACTTTGAAAATTTGTACCGAAATCAAAACTTCCCGCGAAAAATCGATGTTTCTCGTACCAAATTTGTACGCGAAAAATCTTTCTGCACCCGATGACGCAAAATCTCCATACGAAACATGGTTCGTATGAAAACCAGTCCACACGGATTCTCCGTGCCGAAAAATCGTATGGAGCACCCCTGGAAAAAATCCGTAGCGACCATACGGATTTTGGCACGGAAAATCGTACCCCGGAACCTCTCTAATACCAGGACTTCCGTCACGAGTACTCCAGGCCGTAACAGCCAAATAGTGCGAATTTTTGTTGTGCACAACCTCTCCAATAATGCTGCCGCGGTTACTCCGGTCGCCGCTAGCCTGACTAGAATAGATGTGAACTCTACAAATTCCCTGCTAGACATTGTTTTGTAAAATACTTCAATTTGTCAGGCCATATTAGGGGCCGTCCGTAAATATCGATGTTTTTTTAGAGACGATATTCGTTCGTATGGGGGGGGGGGGGGGGGTTGACGCTGTTCGTTGTTTTTGGCGGAAAAAATATCGATCTTCACATACGCTATTTTTAGGTATGCACCTTGTACTTGCTTGTCGCGGCTCGTGCACCATGCAGCATGCAGGGCCTTGCAGGCACTTGAACCTTGTGACTTGTACTACTACTAGTACCAAGAGTCTTGCTACAAGCAAGTATTATGTACCTACCTGTACACACAAACCGTTCAATATTAAAAATATCGGTCCACTGCATACCTGTATGTATGTTCGTATAAGGGGGGGGGGGGGGGGGTCTGGGGAGATATGAACAAATATCGTCTCTAAAAAAACATCGATATTTACGGACGGCCCCTTACTGGTACGTCGTTATAGAGGTAAGGCATTGTATACAAAAAAGTCAATTGAGTGATTTGGCTTGACTGGCTGAAAATATCGTTCTAGGGGCTATTGTTAGATTTGCTACACACAAGTCACAGAGTACCACACATCATCTGGTTGTAACTACCGGTAATCGTTTCATGCCCATGCTCCATAGGCAATCATCCGACATTACAGCCGGATGATTCGTGGTGCTCTGTGACTTGTGAGTTGTGTGTACAATAGCTCTATTCGAATGAATACTAATATTGAGCCCTCTAGTACTCTACGGAGCCGGAGGACTCTCATTTGTAGGGGCTATCGAGTATCGTTGTAAAATACAAAGAAGGCTACAATGACATGTACATGTAGATTGACCGTGCCATGATGATGGTTTACACAGATACAACATACAAGTCTGGACTGGAGTGTATAGTAGGGCCTAGTCGGGAGAGAGGGGAGTTTTGCTCAGCAGCTTGAACTGTATAAACCATGCACTGTATGCGGCATGGTACTAATTTTTATGTACATGTGTACCTGTCAGGGAGTCGTCAAAATACCATGGACGTGGTATTTGATGACTCCCTGGTCCTGTGTACCTGTACTCTTTATCTACATAACGACGTGTAAAGGTCAGACCTCGCTGTAACGACCCTCGCTATAACATAGACCTCACTATAACGTAAGAAATGGAAATGTCCCTGCCGAAACCGCATCACTTCTGCACAAAATGTCCTCGTTATAACATCCGCTATAGCGTAATGTGCGCTATAACACACTGCTCCGCAGTGTTCGCTTGGTCCCAATCGGAGAAACCTCAGCATAACACAAAACGTCGTACAGTCGAGTGTCTTTCCGGCCCAAATCACTTTCTTTTCTTGAAATTTCTGCTCACGGCTGCATACCCTTGCTTGCAACGCCCATACTAGCATTCATGCGTTCTTCGAACACTACAACTATTACTTGAGTACAAGTTTTTGCAAGTCGTGTGGACATACTTAGTAGTAGTGTAACTGTGTTTTCAATAGGGCTCAAACGGTCATTGTTTTACCCCTAAAGGTTAACTGCTAAGCTAACGGTCGGTTTAATGGTTATAACCTATAAGCCACGGCAATCCTGCGGACTCTTTTTTAACCGTATATTTGACTATACTCATTCAAAAAATGTACCCTATTCAGTACAACGCACACATGTACATTCTCTTGCATGCTCATTCATACATACTCTCACACCAAGAGACCAGATATGACCGAGTTGAAAGCCCAGAAATTGCGTACGCATGCGACAGCCTGCGAAAGTGCATACTTTGCAACGACCTGATACTTGGAAAATTTACTGAAAAGTTACTGCGCAACCGTTATCTTTATCGGTTAACCGTTAATTCTTCGTAACCGGTCTGCAACCGGTTAATCGGACTAACCGTTTGAGCCCTAGTTTTCAACACATGCAGTATACACCCTTGAACATACGCACACTTCCTGAGTTGATCAGAGTGGATCATTAGCGCTTTAGTTGTAATCAGTAAGCAAAGAGTGTCATTTTGACATACAGTCAACTTCGCTAATAACGACTGCGGATATAACGACAATTCGCGAATAGCGACAGAATTTTCATGCCCAGAGCAAAGTCCCATCCTACTATAACACATAATAATGAGACTTCGGGTATAACGACACTTCGCGAATAAGGACACTTTTCTGATGCCCCGCCGAGTGTCGTTATAAGCGAAGTTGACTGTACATATTCATTGTTATTTGTTGCATATTATTGGTGTGCCACTACATGACAATAATTAATTATGTATTTTAAACATAAACCTCGGTATAACATAAAATTTGCCGTACAACCCCAGAGATTACGTTTTAGCGAGGTCTGACCTGTGCATGATTGTACTTGCCTCCGCTCACGCACGCAGGCATGCGCCAGAATGATCGAGGACCTACGTGTGCTGCATGCAGTGCATGAATCATGGTTTGATAGAATATCCTTACATTTTACAATGTAAACTCACGAATGTGTTCTTTCGCGTTCTTTCTCCAGTTTCTTCAATCTGGAAATAATATTTTTGTTGCTAGCTCATCGTTCATCTTCCTGGCACAATGGGTCGGTCGAGAACCTGCTGATGAGAAGGTGCAGTTGACTGCAAACATGTAACGCTTATTAGCAAGAGACTTGGAATCCATCAGCAGCGCCTACATTCCAACGAGAGACGAAAGCCGCTCGGACTTGGTTGAAAACGAAATATGGCTTCAGCAGCGGATAGTGAAGCGTCGACAAGCGACGCCCCGACTGTCGCCACAACTGGATCTGCATCAGCGAACGGTTCGTCTGGCCTAGCCATTCAGAATCTTGAAACTCTTGTAAGCGTCTATTGTCGTTGAACGCGTATTGCTACTCACTGAAGCAGAATGGTTTCAGAATCTAGTCAGCTAGACGCAATACAGTAGCAGTTCCTAATTCTGTAAATATCGCAGTTTAGGTATTTTATTTTGGCAATAGCTACTCCTCTTACACTGCTACTGTATGCCCCAGCTCTTACTTTTCGATTCCAGGAATGGTCGATGTTGCAATTGTTAGTACATCAGTGTACATCTTCAAGCATCGCATCATTAAGGGTGCGTTTGGTTGGTACGATCTAGAACAGGATCGAACAGCTGGTGCACATGGAGCAGCCTCATGCCAACCAAACGGTACTCCAGAAACAGAGCACATTTTTGTGGAAAAATGTGCCAAACTTGGTGCATTCTTCAAAATGTGTATGGGTCACCATGGTCACTTTGTACGGTACAACGAGTCCAACCCAAAAAGCGTATGCACGTGATCATTTGGGACCAAAATCGATGTTCCCGCCAGGTTTCACTGTGAAAAAGTGAAACTGCTCGGTCTGCTCCGGCCGGGAGCCCGGAGCAAGCAGAACATGTTCTGGCCGACTCAGAACAGGTGCAGTCCCAACCAAACGCGCTGTTCTGGTGAATCCTGTTCTAGTTCGTACCAACCAAACGTGCCCTAATATTATTGTTAATTTGCAATGTAAGTCTTATTACTTTTCTCTGTCCCAACGCTCACTCATGGTCTCTCTGCTGCTTTATAGTCACTTCAGGTTCACCAAGATTTCGGACATGGCCCCGATCATCAGGGTGAAACAATGTTTTTACTCAGTGTTTCATGTCGATGATGGGCCATTCCCGAAAATCTGGTGAACCTGAAGTGACCTTGCAGGATGGAGACCGTGTGTGAATGTTTGGACTAAGAATAATAATGCTGCTGGTGCTTATATTGTTTTTTTTGTATGCGACAGGATGTATCAAAACTAACACCCGATTCTCCAGAAGTCATTAGCCGTCAAGCAACTGTGAATATCGGTGAGTGCAATTTGCTTGATTGGGCGGCATGCACACTAATTTCCCACCCCGAATCCCAGCAAATGCTGCTTCACAGTTTACCAATGGGAGGCTGGATTGCACATACTAGAAATAGTTCACGTAGCTAGCGAATCAGTCTGTCACCGTTTATCCAGGTTTCAAGATTATATTTCTCTGATAAGTGCTCGGTTTAGAAACACCGTAGGCACTATTTTGGCTTAGGGATGAGTTAAGCGCAATATACAATTATTACTTCTGCAACGTGACGAGCCACAAGCAATGCCAACGACAATTTTTTTCTCCAAAAACTTAGTCACAGCTCCATCGCAAGCCACATCGTGGGGTCGGTGAACCAAGCTCAACTTTTGCTGTGAGAAACGTGTGACGTGCGTCAGCTTGTCCCTAGGTGATACCAAGAGTACATACCCCCCAGAGCGTGCAACTCCACTATGGGTGCTGTCCCGACAGAATTTCAAGTTGACGTCATTTTGATGATGCAATGCGCACTGTACACGGGTTATCAGACGAATCCGGAACCTGTGATTGACCGAAGCCGATCGATCCTGTACAAATTATTGCAAAGAAAAACGTGTGATGCGTTGACACCCGTACACATGTTGTAAATCACTGGTGCAAGGAGCATTGCGTCATAAATAATGACGTCAACTTGAAGTTCTCTCAGGACAGCAGGGTATGTGGGAGTTGCACACTCTGGGGGGTTATGTACTCTTGGTGATACGTTCACTGATCATCAGAATGGTCACTGTCACTGGTGTCATCCCCACCTGTGTGCACATTAGCATCCACTTCATCTTCACTGGTATCGCTGTCACCCATGTCACTGCTGTCGCTCGCACTGCCGTCGCTCACTTCACACACACACACACACTTCTGCATGAACCTCATCTTCACTCATATCACTGTCATCACCAGGGCCGCAGGTTATCACCGGACCAACAGGTCCACCCAATCAGACACCGCAGTTGGCAGACACATGTTGCTTCGGCGAAATCCAATTGGAGTTTACGAATTTCCTCGAAGCATTTTTGAGCACTGTGCATCCACCCGTCCCTCCCCTCGGCTGAAAACAGTCTTTGAATTCACGTAACGTGTCCTTTTGGCTTGGAAAAACTGAAGAAGAAAAGCTATGTGCACGTATGACTGTGCAAGGTTTTCTATTTGCTTACTCTTCGCAGTATTTTTTTAGGCCCAGTCGCCCTGAGCTCGGTCTGTTTTTTTGTTGTCTTGCTCTTTTAACAGGTACAATTGGCCACGTAGCACATGGAAAGTCCACGGTGGTCAAAGCTATTTCTGGTGTGCAGGTATGGCAGTCAGGGATATATATTTTTTGCATTGCTGTTATTGTTTTCTTTGAAACACCATGGATGGGACTCGGTGTGTTGGTAGTGGGGAAGGACGCGTCCGGCATGGGGAGTATACCTGAATCCACATTTTAATTTAATTTTAATACTGGAGTTTTGCTGTCTACTTGAATTTCACTTTCGTATGTGGCAAGAGTCCCCCACCGCAAGTCTAATTTATCATGCTTTCCCAGGATTTCTCAAGGTGCGAAGACTCCACTGTGGCCATCCACTATACCCATACTGTCGGATCACTGGACTCGTAATCTCGTGCTGTCCGGGCTGTCACAACCCTCACTAATAAAGTCACTTGACTCTCACAACAGACACGATGGAACAGGACTCAGACAAGGAGAAAGGTATTATTCGGAAGGACTTATTGCAAGAACAAACACATCATTCGAGCAGAGGAAAACAAACTACAACTACTTGTCTCCACTTGCGAAACAGAAAACTAACACCAGCACTGACTACACTATCAGTACATGTATGAATAAGGGCAGGTTGCATGCAAATATGGATGAAAGTACTGCTCACGGTTCACATGGTTCAGTTCGCGCGAGCCCCGAGCACGCGGGTGTGCCCGAACCGCGTATGCACAGATGGCATGAGACAAGACATAACTCAGTGCCGCGACCTATTAATACATGTAGTAATATTACTAATCGTATGATGGAAGAAGGTGGAGGACCGAACATACCTCCCTCTCGAACGAAAAGAAACTTCTATGAGTGAGAATCTATTACACACACAGATTTATGTGAGAAGATGAAAGCAAAGCATGAGCGGAACACACATTACTGATCACTCGGTGATGTCACCAATGGTCATGCCGGTGTTGACGCTGCGAATGGCGTTTGCGGGTGAAGCGTCGGGTACCTCCAGCGGCACAAGGTGACCAACTGAACGACGGTAGATCTTGCCGTTGATCTTGATGTCCACCACGCGCACTACACCATCTTCACCAGGGTACGTAGCTTGCACTCTCCCGAGTGGCCAGCGGGCTCGTGGCGTGTGCTCCTCAAGCACAATCATGACATCACCTTCTTTGACATTCTGCTCGCCGCGGTGCCATTTGGAGCGCACATTCAGCTTCGGCACAACTTCCTTGAGCCACCTGCTCCACACGTCACGTGTCAGCCGCTGAACATACTTCCAACGGCGATGTGGGTGTACCACTTGTTCTGCATCAGCAACATCTTCCAGGGCAGCAGAGACATCTTGATGGCCAACAAGAAAGTGCAGCGGTGTCAGGGGGGCCGGGTCATCAGCATCGCTTGAAACGACAGTCAGCGGACGCGAATTCAGCAACGCTTCGGCTTGAATTAGCGCTGTCTGGAGCTCCTCATCAGTCAAGTCAGCACGGTACAACACGGACTGGAGAGCCTTCTTCATTGCCTTGACCAGGCACTCAAAATAGCCACCAAAATGGGGCGACAACGGTGGGTTGAAACGCCATTTGATGCCTTGTGTAGCGAGTCGCTGGCCTGCTTGCTCACTAGCTTGACTCCAAGCCTCCCTCAGCTCTCGCTCGGCGGCAACAAAGTTTGTTCCGTTGTCCGAAAGAATCTCTGTAGGAGTTCCGCGGCGCTTGCAGAAGCGAGTGAAGCATAGGAGGAAGCCGTCCACATCCAAAGAGTTGACAACTTCCAGATGGCAGGCGCCTGTCTGCAGACATTTGAACACGCATACATACCGCTTCAGCTGGGTACGACCTCTGCCCTGCCGAGTGTGGAACGGGCCGGCAAAGTCAATACCAACGCGAGAGAAGGTTTGCAGTGGTGGTGCTGTGCGGAAGACAGGAAGCTGGCCCATGACTGGATTGGCTGTCCTAGCCCAGGTTCTGCGACACTTCACGCAAGCATGGCGGTGGGAACGCACAGCCATCTTGCCACGAACAATCCAAAACTTGTCGGCCAGATTGGAGAGGAGGTGGTTGGGCCCGACTGAGTGGCGACAGCGGTCATCCTCGCGTCCAATCACCAGCTGGGTGACGCGGTGCCTTGGGGGCAGGATGGTGGGACTCCTCAGCTCGCCAGGGAGATGGTGGGACGTCTGTAGTCGACCACCGACCCGCATGACTGGGATGCAGTGAGACTGATCCATGGTAGGTCGCAGCTGCACCAACGCATCCGAACCCAGCAGCTCCTTGTTGCCCAGGACACGTTTGAACACTTCTGGATACGCATCTTGCTGAGCCTGACTGATCCAGAGACGCTCCGCTTGTTGCAGCTCCTCTGCCGAGAGTTCGTTGATGACAAGCGTCCCAGTCTTTGTAGCCACAGTGACCTGCTGTTGACTGCTATCCGCTGGCTGTGGTTTACGGCGCGCACGGCGAGCAAACCTACGGCACCAGCCTGTGATGCGAATCAGCTTGTCCAGCGATGAGTACCGGGCTGGACCAAGATCAGTGGGTGCTGCAGCAGTAGAACTTCCGACGAAGCTAGCACACATGGATTTCTTTGTCAGTCCTGGCAGCTCCTGGGGAACGACAATCTGCTTTGCTGGCCATTCAGATTCCGGAGCAGCAAGAAACGCAGGGCCATGCCACCAGACTTCATTGATCGCGAGCTGCGCAGCAGAGAGACCGCGAGTGGCTTGGTCGGCAGGATTCCGTTTACCAGGTACGTGCTGCCAGTGCCGGCTACTGGTGGTTTCCTGAATCTCCGAGATCCGGTTCCCAACCTCAACCTTGAACTTGCGGCTTGGAGATCTCACCCAGTAAAGAACATTCATAGAATCCGTCCAGAAGAACCGGCGGGCCGATGGAATGCTTAGAGCAACGCCAACATTGGCACCCAGCCGACCGCCAAGCACAGCGGCTTGAAGCTCTAGCATGGGTATGGACTTGCGACGGACCGGGGAGGGTCGGGCCTTTGCCATGGCGAGTGTCACTCTGTTGGCGCCATCAGTCTGCGGTGATAGCACGTACGTCACAGCGGCATAAGCGGCATCGGATGCATCACAGAACGTGTGCAACTGCAGCTCTCCCCTGCTGTCGGCAGTCTTGAAGCTTCGTTCAATGTTGAGAGAGCTGAGGTCTTCAAACTCGCTGAACCACCGCTTCCACTTCACAGCTTGTTCGTGGCCAAGAGGATCGTCCCACCCCAGCCCGCTGATGCAGCTCTGCTGGAAGTTCACCTTTGCTCGGATCGTAAATGGGCTGAGCTGGCCACGCGGATCAAACAGCTGCGCCATGGAGCTGAGCACACCTCGCCGGGTGTACTCTACGTCGACCGGCTCTGGGTAGCGGAACGTGAACTGGTCTTGCGCCGCAACCCATGTGACCCCCAGAGTCTTCGGAGACGCAGGTGGCTGCTCGTGAGAGACAATGTCACGGGTATTTGTCACAGCGCGGTGTTCAACAGGAATGGACTGCAGCACTGCGGGGGAGTTGGTGATCCATTTCCGAATATGGAACCCTCCTCGTGCCAAAGTGTGCTGCAGATCAGCTCGCACAGAGATTGCCAGTTGCTCAGTTGGTTGGGAGTTGAGCAGATCATCAACGTAGAAGCTGTGGTCGATAGCTTCCTTAGCAGCAGGCACCGCCGTCGAACAGCACTCCTCTGCCACTTGTTTGAGCGCCCTGCCAGCCAGGTATGGCGAGGCTTTGATGCCAAATACCAGTCGCAGGAACTCAAAGGTGTCGATGGTGCCCGGTGACGACTGCCACAAGAATCGATGATACTTGCGGTCTTCAGGAGCGAGTTGAACCTGAAGGAACATCTCTGTAATGTCACCGGCGATCGCAATGGGCTCGAGACAGAAGCGCAGCAGGACATGAACAAGGTTGTTCATCAGATTAGGCCCTGCATGCATCAGGTCATTGATCGAATATCCGTTGCACTTGGCAGCTGCATCGAAAACAACTCGAACTTTGGTTGTCGTCTTGTCATCCCGTACCACAGGGAAGTGGGGAAGGTGCCACTGGTCAGGGATGGAGAGATCAGCCGCTTCGGAGACGCGTCGAATGTATCCTTTTTCCAGGTACGCCTGCAGCACTTTCGTATACTGCAGCTTGATTGACGGCCGCTTGTCAAGTGCCCTTTGCAGAGATTCCAGACGGTGTAAAGCGAGATGTTTGTTGGACTGGACACTCGGCTTGGTGCCACCCTTCCACGGAATGGCAACCTGGAATCGGCAGTCGCTGTAACTCAAGCTGCGGGATGTGACGGCCTCGGCTTGCTTCTCCGCAGGGCTCAGGTACTCCGTGGTTGTAGGCTGCATACCAACAGCCTCTAGGCTCCAGAACTTCTCCACCATTTGGTCGAGTTGAGCTGCGCTGGATACGGAGGCGCCATGCAGTGTGAATGCCTGCGGTGCAGTAGCGTCGATTGGCGTTGGGCCAAAGCAGATCCACCCCAGCGGTGTAAGCCGAGCAATCGGACCTCCCTCACTGCCACTCCGCTCCTCATACGCAGTGTGAAGGCTGGCAGCGTTCAATCCGATCAGTAGGTCGATGCTCTGACCAGCTGAGTCGGGGAACTGTATGTCCTGGAGGTGGGACCAGTGCTTCTTCTCTGCATTCCAGTCGACTGGTGGCAGGTTGACCGTGACTGCTGGCAGTACCCAGGCATCAAGCACAGTGACGCTCGGAGTGTCACCATCAGTGCGGCACACGCTGACGCTGACCTGTTGTCTCAGCCCAGTCACCTTGCCGCCGCCGATGACTGCCGTTTCCACTTGTGACTTCGGGCCTTCAAGTTCCAGCTTGTGAGCTGCATCCTCTGTTATGTAGCTACAAGACGATCCGGAGTCAAGCAGCACAGTGGCCTTCATCTTCTTGCCATGTTCGCCGATGACGTCGGCCTGCAACACCATGAATGCGGCAGTGGTACCACATCCATGCGTACTGAGGCTGTTCTCGTTCACCGCAGCAGAGTTGCCAATGGAGCCAGCTCCAGTACGGCTGGCTGTGGACGAGGAAGAATGGTTGGTGACAGACCTCTGAGCTGGCGAGG